AACGATTGTTAAATAAACTTGGCTTTCTCGTTAACTTTGTTCGTCAGACGGTTGCAAAAGGGGATTGTATGACACTGGGACACTGTAACCGTCATAAATACGAGTCAGTTGCCCAGCGTCAACTTTTGATGTCTGAATTTTGATCATGTGACCATGGAGATGCTCCAATTCTTGTGTGAAAAACTGTCAAAAGTCAATTTTTTCAGTGCCGTTGTAACTTCCAGTGGTCACTAAATGAAGCTGTAAGGATTACCTGTAATTCTTCCCTACATCAAAAAATCCTAGCTTTTGATTATACTACCTGAGACTTCTCAGGAAACAACAACTGAATGAAAAACTGCTGGTGACCTTCTACCGCTGCACCATAGGGAGTATCTTAACTTACTGCACCTCTGTATGGTTTGCCAATTGCACAGTGGCAGATAGGAAAGCACTCCAGAGGGTTAACATCATTGCCCGGAAGATCACTGGTTGCCCTCTCCCCTCTTTGGAAGAGCTTTATAGCTCCCGCTGCCTTAAGAAAGTTCAAAACATTCTCAAAGATCCATCTCATCCTGGGCACCCTTTTTTTTGAACTATTACCATCTGGCAGACGGTACAGGATAATAAAAACAAGCACAAATATGCTGGGAAAAAAAAGCTTCTATCCCAGGACAGTAGCTCTTTTGAACTCTACTGTTTAGTGCAGTGTTGGTGTGGTGTTGGGAATTTTCAGTTCAATGTGTGGAGTGTGAAGGATGTGTGTTTGTGTTTATTTTCATGGTCATGGTCATGATGTGCACTGAAGATGGTGTTTGATTTCGTTGTATGAGGTGCAATGACAATAAACTAAACTAAACTAAATTAAAGAGAAGTGTTAAGGGGGAAAATCAAATAAGGAGAAATTTTTGAATTTTTTTTTTTGATGATGAGCATTCTGCCAGCGCCCCTTCCTCTGATAAGCTTCTTTATCTTCCATACTACAGATCCAATTTCCACCCTAAATTGCATTTGTTGGAATAGTGTGATTACTAATGCATGGAATTCTAGAAGGGGAAGGATCTATTAAGGCTACTGAGTGAGAAATTCCAATTAAAGCAATTTAACTTGGATAGATGGTTTCTAATAACACTCTCCCAGGAGAACCTCTGAAAGGCAGATTGCTCCTCTAACTAATTTTAGTGTAAATGTATTTTTTTTCCCAAATATTCACTCAGAATTGGCCTTAAACATTTTTCTTTGAATCAATCTTGACTTCTACCAACCTGGCAAGATATTGAGACTATGAAAAGAGTGCAGAGAAGAGCAACAAAGATGATTAGGAGACTGGGAGCTCAAGCATGAAGAACGGCAGCAGGAATTTGATTTATTTAGTTTAATGAAAAGAAGGATTAGGGGTGACATGATAGCAGCCTCCCAGTATTTGAGGGGCTGCCAGAAAGAAGAGAGAGTCAATCTATTCTTCAAAGCCCCTGAAGGCAAGATAAGAAGCAATGGAGGGAAACGAAAACTATCTGCATAGGAAGTATTTTTGTTAATTCAGGTAATAATATCCTACCAAGAGGAAACAGTTTTAGGAGGTTATACAAATGTGTATTCAAATGAAACACTAATCCCATTACATCCCTAGCCCCTTGATAATTTACTCGAACATTTTCTATATAGCTACAATGGAAACCCATCATCCTAAAATATGTTGCTTTGTTATTCAAGGCAGAATCTAAGATCTGTTGAAGTCTTTGACACTGATGTTAACACCTCTTCCTATTGTCTAGGCTAAATAAGAATCTCTAATTCTTTACTCCATTCAGCCATTAACATTTGCATATCAAACGGATCCATCACCAGTAGAATTTAATAAAGATTAATTGTAGGGTGTTTTTGTGTTACAGTCCTATCTGAGGCACAGGGAAAAGGACCTGCTATGTTGATGAAAATATTTTAAGACTCGAGGCAACAAAAGAGGAACTAGGTACGGGGGAAGAGAAAGGTTTGCCCAAAGTCTGCTCAATAGGTTAGCGGATTTGCGGAATGTATTTATTTTATTATAGCAATAGCACTTAGACTTATATACCCCTTCACGGTGTTTTACAGCCCTCTCTAAGCAGTTTACAGAGTCAGCATCTTGCCCCCAACAATCTGGGTCCTTGATTTGTGTGGTGCAGTGGCCTAGGAGTGGATCTCTTGCCTCACAATCAGGAGGCTGTGAGTTCGATCCTAGGTAGAAGCAGGTATTTCTCTCTTTGGACACAATCAGAATATATCTGCTGCGAACTCCGCATTGGCAAAAAGAAAGGCATCCGGCCAGTAAACATTCAGCTCCATTCAGTTGCCCCAACTCCACTCTGATGCAAGGGACTATGGGGTGATTAAAAGACCAAAAAAAGAAAAGAAAGAAAGAAATCTGGGTCCTCATTTTACTGACCTTGGAAGGATGGAAGGTTGAGTCCACCTTGAGCCGGTCAAGATCAAACTCCTAGCAATTTTCAAGCCAGATATGCAACAGATAGAAAACAGATATGCAGTTATACTCACAATTAAAGGGTTAATTAAAACAAGCGACAGAACAAAGAACCAAAATACAACACTGCATATCTAAATTTGATAGCAACCCCCAGTTAGATCTCAAACATTTCTTGGAAGGGTTACCTTCAATTTTGCTTTGTTCTGAAAAACCTCTTCTTATCCCCAATATGGAAAATGCTTCAAGACCAAGTGCATATTTCGTGTCCCTGGCTTGGTTAAAACATGCCTGGAAATCGGAAGATGAGTTGAAAAGAAGAACTGGATTTGAAAAAGAGCAAATCCTCCAAGGCCTTTTTCTTCTTCCTCTTGTTTACCCTCCAGCAGGTAATTTAAAGTCATCTGTGAAAAACTAAAGGTCAGCATTTCCATATAAATAGGAGTTTGAAGTGAAATCACTTTCTTTTCTGTTCATCGTTGGTTTTGTAATATAGGGCAGTAATACAGTACTGACAAAAGTACTTTCGGTTTTTTTTCCCCTTCTTCTTCTATTCCAGAGTGCTGGCTAGGAATAAGTTGTCAGGATTGAGAAATACTGTTGTAGCAGTGGTGGTATTCAGCCGGTTCACACCGGATCGGGCGAACCGGTAGCAAGGATTTGGCGTGGGTCGCCGAACCGGTAGTAAGTTCTGGCTGGCCACGGCCCTGACCCAGTCACCCTCCCGCCCGATACTCGCTTCACCCCGCTCGCCTGACCTTCGCCTAAGGTATTTCTTTCTTTTTTTCCCCTCCCGACAATCAGCTGTAGATACGATCAGCTGTGCCGGGATTCCCCTTGCTGAGGCCCAGGAAGGCAAAAAAATGGAGGGAGGGGCTCAGCGCCCCCTCCATTTTTTGCCTTCCTGAGCCTTAGAGGAGCCTTATGGGAGCAAAAACGCCCCCCCCCCCACGAGGCTCCTCTGAGGCCAAGAAAACCCCAAAAATGGGTGAGGGGGGTGGCTGCAAAAAAGCAAAACAAAATAAAAAATAAAAAAGGCCATGCCCACCCAGTCAAATGGCCACACCCTCCAAGCCACACCCACAGAACCGGTAGTAAAAATTTTTTTGAATCCCACCACTGTGCTCTAGCCATAAAGTCGATAACTTTCCCTCTTCCATCATATTGCAAAGAAACAGTTGGAGATCTTAGGAGGTAATGCCCAAGGGTTGCACATGCAGTCCTCAACTTAAAACAGTTCATTTAGTGACCATTCAAAATAACACTTGGGCAGAGGGGTTGGAGTAGAAGACCTCCAAAGTCCCTTCCAGCCCTAGGATTCAATAGTCTGTCTACTTGCTTGCCTCTCTCTCCTTCTTCCTCCCCCTCCCTCTCTCTCTCTTTTCAAGAAAAGATTGGACAATCATTTGTCCAGGATGATATAAGGACTCTGGCCTTGAGCAGGGGGTGGACTAGAAGACCTCCAAGATCCCTTTCAGTCCTAGGATTTTATGCTTCTACAGCGGTGCTGAAAAAAGTTACTTATGACCATTTTGTTACACTTATGACCATTGGAGCATCCCCATGGTTATGTGCTCAAAATTCAGATGCTTGGCAACTGGCTCATATTTACGACGGTTGCAATGTTCCTGGGATGGTGTGATCACCTTTTGTGACCTTCTGACAAGCAAGGGGAAGCCAGATTCACTTAACAGCCGTTTTTATTAACTTAAGAACTGCAATGATTCACTTAACAACTGCAGCAAAAAAAATTGGATTAAAAATGGGGCAAAACTCACTTAACACCTGTGTGGCTTAGCAACCGTAATTTCGGGCTCAGTTGTGAGCATAAGGTACTATCTGTATATGGCCTCATAGTCTATACTTCTGGTTTACAATAAATCATTGAACAGAACAGCAATCCTTTCCATGCTGGCAGACTACCTGTGCCCATGTAATAATCCAGAATGGAGCCTGATTCAAAGCTAATTATTTTTGTAGGTAACCCCAGAGTGCAGTTGTTTTTAATTCATTATGAAGAATTCCAGATGACAAGCTCTGTTTCCCAATGTTTTTTTTTTATTGGTAAGAAATCTAAACTTTTACAGCCTTAAAGGATCTCAATAGAACGTTAGCCTCTGCATCATTACTTCCTCGCCAAAGGAGAGAATAACAATAAAAATGAAATCACACCAGGGAATTTTAAAAAAAATCAAACGAAACATACTTAATACTCCTTCCTCCTCCTATTTTCTCCACAACAACAATTCTGTGAGGTGGCTTGAGCTGAAAAAGAGTGACTGGCCCAAAGTCACCCAGTCAGCTTTCATGCCTAAAATGGAACTAGAACTCACAAGGCCAGCCCCTTAACCACGACAGTAATTTTGAAAGCCTGTTTAAGTTCCTCTCCGCTCCATCTTATATTAAACAAAATTAAGTGGTTTAGGATTTCTTTTTCATGCTTCCTTCGTTCTCTCTCTCTCTCTTTTTTTCAAACACGCTTCCCTTCCCCCTTTACGTTCCTTTGCAAATATAGAGGTGTTTTCTTGCTGTGGTGTGTGTGTGTGTGTGTGTGTGTGTGTGTGTGTGTGTGTTCTTATTTGTCAATCTACCTGCATTGTCTTAGCAATTTTTGGGATGGAGACAAGACCAGCCCAGCTTGGCTAAACCATAACTTTCACTCTTGATGGAGAAACAACAATCCAACAAGGTTGTGCAAGAAGGACCAATGAGAGGCCTGAAATAGCATCTATGGTGTAATGAATAACAAGACAGGGGTGGTGGATAGGAAAAACCAGAACTTGGAGGTTTCGGAGCCCCATAACCAAGGCAATTTTAGTTTCACAGGGGAAAAAGAAACCCTGCCCAGCTTCTTAATCAGCAAGCAGAGACAGGGACAGGAAGTGGTCAAATTAGTTTCCCATCCATTCAGAGGAAGAGGGTATAAAATAGCTACTACAGTCTGTAAAAACACTCTGGTACTATACTCCGTGCAAACTATACTCAGGTTATCTTCTCCTCGGCTTGTCTGTGTGAATAAACTGCTGTGCTGGACCAGGAAGTAGCCGTGATGTTCCAGAGAAAACGAAGTGTCTCCTTTGGAGGTTATGGATGGTGGGTTCCTTCCCTTCCCTTCCCTCCCCTCCCCTCCTGTCTTTATTACTTTATAAGTAACTTAAGGTAGTGAGCATACATAGTATTCCTTGCTCTCCTTTTCCTCACAACAACAGCCCTGTGAGGTGGGTTGCACTGAAAGCTAATGATTGGCCCAAAGTCACCCAGCTGGCTTTCATGGGACTAGAACTCAGAGCTTCCTGGTTTCTCGGCCAGCATCTTAAGCACAACATCAAACTGGTGCCCCTTTCCTTTCTCTTCCTTCTCCCCATTTCTCCAGTAGTTGAAGGGACCTGATATTGTGCTGCTGCCCCCCCCCCACTTCATTTTTTATTCCAAACTACAGCCCTACGAGTTTAATTGAGCTGAAAGAGAAGAATTGGTCTAAATCCATTGAAGGCTTGTCTGTGGCTGAGAGTAGATTTGAACCTGGTACTCCCATTCTTAATGCAGCCTTTCTTCACTAAACTCCGCTGGCTTTCTATGGAGAGTAAAGGTTTGGGACAAGGAAACTTCTTGCTTAGTCTTTCTTCGCCTAATTCCCCAAAGATCTTGCAGTGAAGTCCTCTCGGGCCATTTCCCCTTAAGATGCACCTTGAGGACTAGGCACTTGAAACAAAAAATGTCAGATGGATTGGCTAGGAAGCAGAGCCTTCTCAAGAGTGACCCCACAATGCTAGATTTACACCCTCAGGCTTATCTGTTTGTCTTCAGTGAACTGGGTTAGAAAAACTACCTTGGATTTTGAGTGCTTTGAAATCAGAAAATGATTTGAAATCAGAACTCTTTTCTTATTTTTTTTTTTTTACTTTAAGAACTTTGCTATTTGTCCAATTCCCTCCAGGTTTTATATGACTTGGCTGAAAGGACAGTTTTTCTCAGAACGCCATCACTTTCCTAAACAAATAATTCCCTCAACACTGTCCAACTATTTACAAAGTCTGCACTACTATTACTATTAATCTTATCACTTTTTAATCATCCATCCTCTCCCACTTGTGACTGTATGACTGTAGCTTTGTCGCTTGTATCCTTACGATCTATATGGACTATTTCCTAGTATGATTTGATTGCTTATTGTACCCTGTGACTATTATTAAGTGTTGTACCTTATGATTCTTGACTCTTGATGAATGTATATTTTCTTTTATGTACACTGAGAGCATTTGCACCAAGACAAATTCCTTGTGTGTCCAATCACACTTGGCCAATAAAGAATTCCTATTCTATTCTATTCTATTCTATTCTATTCTATTCT